TGAGCCCACCCCTACACAGAAACACCAAAAAGGCAAGTGTGAGAATCGATGTTGCAGTAAGTCTGGAAGACAGTCAAAGGTTTACAGCAACCAAGAGAACGTTAGGCCAAGGATAAGATGACTCAAACACAGCATAACGGGGATATTAGTGGCCACCTTAAGAAAATAAAAAGAGTTATACGAGAAAACTATGAACAACTACATTAAATAGACAAATTCCTAGCAAAACACAAACTACCGAAACTGACTCAAGGGGAGGCGGGGAGAAAATCTGAAGACATAAATAAATTAAATCAGAATTCAAAAACCCCCGGCAAAGAAAAGCCCAGGACCAGCTAGCTTCCCTAGTGAATTGTGTCAACAGTTTAATGAACCATTAACACCAGTTCTTTTCAAACTCTCCCAAGAAATAAAAAAGTAGTGAAACCAAATCATTCAATGGGACCAACATTGCCCTGATACTGAAACCAGACAAAGATAGGACAAGAACACCACAGACCCAAATCTTCTATGAATATAGATGCAAAAATTCCTGAACAAAATATTTGCAAACTCAATCCAGCTGAATGTTAAAAGGATTGCACACCATGTCCAAGTAGGATTTTTCCCAGGAGTGCCAGGGGTTCCACATATGAAAATCTATCAGTGTAATACACCATATTAATAAAATGAAGAGAAAAAACAAGATCATCTCAACTGCGGTAAAATAATTTCACAAACTTCAATGCTTTTTCATGATAAAAAATATTCAACAAACTAGGAATAGAAGAGAACGTCTTCAATCTGATTAAGGGCATTTATTAAAAAAAAACTACAGCTAGTATCATATTTAATAGTGAAAGACTTAAAGTTATCTCCCACTAAGATCGGAACAAGGCAAGAATGTCTGCTTTCGCTCTTATTCAAAAGAACAGTTAGGCCAGATAACTGAAATAAGAGGCATATAAATTGGAAAGAAACAAGTAAAACTATCCATCCCCTCTTTGCAGATGAAAACAAATTCAGTGAAGGATAAAGGATCAACACCAAAATCAGTCGTATTTCTATACACTAGCAATGAACAAAAAAGAAAAGAAAACAATCTGATTTTTTTTTTTATTATTCATTGAATTGAATGGGGGAGAGAGAAAGAGCGAGAAACATCAACATTGATTTGTTGTTCCACTTATTTATGCATCCGTTGATTCTTATTTGTGCCCTGACGGGGTAATGGGGATGGAACTGGAAACCTTGGTGTATGGGGATGATGCTCTAACCAACTTTGCTACCCAGCCAGGGCCTCAATTCACTTTTCAATAGCACCTAAAAGAATAAAATACTTAGGAATTAATTTAACCAAGTGGTTGTGATACTTGTACACTGAAAATTATGAAACATTTCTGGAATTAAAGAAGACACAAATGAATGGAATCACATTCTGTGTTCATGGTTTGGCAGACTCGATATTATCAAGATAGCAATAGTGCCAGAGTGATCTACATATCTAGTGCAATCTCTATGAAAAGCTCAATGGTCTTTATTCTTTTGTAGAAATGGGAAAAGCTGATTCTAAAATTTATGTGGCATTGCAAGAGACCCCAGGTACAAGTTTGAAACAAATCAAAATAATTCTGAAAAAGAAAAATGGAGTTGGAGTATTCACCCTTCCCAATTTCAAACCGTACTACAAAGCTACACTAATCAAAGCTGTGCGCTTGACATAAAGACAGACATATATTCTGGACATTTTATATAAGTGGAATTACATGCAATTCTGGACATTTGATATCAGTAGAATCATGTCCAGAATAGGTAAATCCATGGTGACAATAGGAGATTAGCGGTCGTGGGAGCCTGGGGATAGGGTGGATTTAATGAGTATGCTTAATGAATACGGCGGTCTCCTTTGGAGATGAGGGATGTGTTTTGAAACTAGATAAAGGTGAACATTATGAGTGTTCTAAATGCCACTGAATTGTCACTTTAAAATCATTAATTTTATGTTATGTGAATTGCACCTCAATAAACAACAAACAAGTAATTGGAGGCAAGCCCAGCTGAAGTTGGAGTCAGTCCTGGCAGCATCCCTGCTCTGGCAGAGAAGTCGTAAACTGCTTTTGGTTTGGGTAGCCACCAGCAACTGCACAGCCCGCTGGAGCTGGAGTCACTGCTGGCGGGCCCAGGGAGCTGGACCACGCACGGGGTGCCAACTCATGAAGGTCCCCAGTGGGCTACAGACCCGGACTCTGTGCTCCTGAGTCACCAGCTGGCTGTTGCACCTTGGGCAAAATACCCCAACCTTGGGGGGCATGGTGGGGAGGAGGGCTTGAATCCTGGACGTGGGTAAGTAACTGAATGCCAAGTGCAAGGCCAAGCAGACTCTGAGAATCTGTCATTCGCAGGTCTCCCTTCACATTGATGGTAGGTTTCCGCTCATCGCTTTTTACCAAGTTTCATTGATCCAGGTTGCAAGGCCTGCAAGAGGAAGCACCCATACAGCTGTGCTCTGTGGGCCTGCGTACTGGTTCCTGAAAACTCCAAACCAGTGAAAGGGCAAGGACAGTGTTGGTTTTTTTGTTTTTGTTTACCTTTTATAACAATATATAGATTGACATGTATATGCAAATTTAGGGGAAGAGGAAGCGACTGAAGATCAAGAGAGTCTGAAAGTCTTACAGCTTTTTTGTAAAAAAATTTTATTTATGCATTTTTAGGTCAACCGCAGCCAAGTGCCCTGACCCAAATAGAACCAGCGACCTTTGGCCGCCTTTCTCTCTGTGGAATGTTGTCCAAACCACAGAGCCACGCTGGTCAGGGCAGTCTTCTGCGTTTTAATGATTCTCGAAGTTGGAACCTGCAGACAGCAGAAAGAAAAAAAGATGTTAGAAACTAGAAATCAAAGATGTGCAACCCAGTCCTCCTTTTTTTGCAGACTTGAACCAGGTATTCAGACACTTAAAAGGATAGCTTCGCCTGCATGTACATCTCCTCTCAGTTATCAACCAACTCTCAGCACTGTGTCTGTTCACTGAGCCTGAGCCCTGCCAGCAGCCACCGCACTCCTGAGCCTTCCTGATCTCGCAGCTTCGCGTCTACTGCCTGGCTGGTCGCTTCGGGCTCCTTGGCTGCTTCCCGCTCCGGGCCCGCCAGGGCGAGGGAAGGAGAGCACCGGCGAGCCCGCGGAAATTGAGAGGAAACCCGGTATATAACGGGTGCTGAGTGCTTGCCACACACAACGCTAGGCGCGGGAACATGAAGACGTCGCCTCGCCCTTCACACATTCCCAAACATCTCCTGCAACTGATGCTGGCGAACGACTCAGCGAACTCGTGAAATCAGGCACCTAATTAGGCGCAGCTCGGCAGTCTGGGAACCTTCGGTTCCAGTCCTCGTGTCCTCCTCCCATTTCCCAAATCAGCTAATGGCTTCCCAACGTTTCTAGAACAAAAGCCACATTTTGACCAATTACCCTTTCTTTCATCTACAAGCACCGCCCCCCCCCCCCCCCCCAATAATCAGGCCTCTGACCCCTTCTCTGATCTCGTTGTGTACACGCTCCTGCCCGCCTTTCGATCCACCATTCATTTCCACAGTTTTTGCTCTTGAGTTTCTCTGCTTCCCGTGGCTATTTTCTTGTCATCAGTCAGGTTCCCCGACCACTGTAAGATAGCCTCCCCTCCTATTCACTCTTCATTCTTATTCATTACATTGGTTTTACAGATTTGCTCTCTTAAAGTACATTGTTATAGTGTTTAACATCTATTTCCCAGAATGGAAGCTCTATGAGGGCAGGACTCCTGTTTTCTCTCCTTCAGTTTTGTGTCCTACCCAGATCATGTAGTAGGTTCTCAGTTAAAGGGGCGGAAGGAAGTGAAGAAGGGAAGGAGGGGAGGAGGGAGGGAGGGTTGGCTTAGAAATCTTGGCTTAGAAATCTTAGGTGTAATTATGAAGTGTTACTCAATTTTTATTTGCCTGGGGCTCAATTCAATCATCTAATTCTGTTCTGCTGCTCCCAATTCTTGTTTCTGTGATTGGTCCCTCCATGGGTCACAAGTTTCAGTTGTTGGAGCGAGAGGGTGGGCAGGCTAAAGGAGATCTTTATCCTTCCACCCCCCCCCCCCAAGCACCTGAGGCACTGCACTCTGGGCATCTCCCAGCCCAGCACCCAGAGTGAGCCTCTCCAGTCTGTCCCAGGCTCCCCTCAGGCCCAGTGAGCCTAGTGCCCCAGTTCTGAGCCCATAGAATAGATCTCAGTCTCTTCAAAGTCAATGTCTACCTTAAACATTTGTGCTAACTTCGTATGTTGCTTATATGAATTTGTATAAAATGGTTCCCCTTTCAGAAGAAAATTAAAGTTGGCACATTAGGCGGGCAGGAATGGAGGTGGGGAAATGATGCCGCCAGAAAAGTCTTTGTGGTGGTAGAATGAGGAGGGAATAAGAGACACATACCTATGTCCCTCTCAGCGATCTCTCTGGCACAAAAGGAAAGCTTAAGAGAGGGCAAAGCTTAAGAAAGGGTCCCGTTCCCAGAACATGCTGTAAATCCCGGAGTGCAGACTGCAAGGGTTAGAGAAGTCTCTATTCCAGATACCATACCCCTAGGGCCTCATGGCAGAGATTTAGTAAAATTTTGCAACGGCCCAAGGAATGACACATCTCTGCCAGATGATGCTGTGTACAACTGGTTTTGGAAATCCCAGGGTTGGTCCAGCAACTTAGGTAACCTAGTGGAGAAACTGAGGGCCCCTGAATGGATGCGGCCACTACACCTCAGGTCAATGCTCTAGCTCTACGCCTTGCGCGCTGCGGGGAGGATAAGTACTTGGGGGAGTAGAGGGCAGGGTTTAAGGGATGGGTTTTCATGTGCGAAAGTCCATTTAAGGCTATTTCCTATCCCCGGTTAGGCAGCGCGATCGGGTTGTCCCATCAGCTTGGCAATGTGTGCGTGGGCTGATAGGAGGCTCCCGGTTCCAACTTTCTCTTCTGAGAAAGGAATGCGCTGTACTGAGGAAACTGAGTTCAGATTTCTAGATCGGCCACCTCACCTGCGGGACCTTGTGCGGCATTTGAATGGGCGCGGCTACTGCCTCCCTTGCTCCCTGCGGCCGCGCGCAGGTACCGGGCGACGTCCCGGTGGCCCCGCTGTTCAGCCAGGTCCACGGGCAGGCGCCCCCAGGCGTCGCGCACGTCCAGCCGCGCCCCGGCTTGGTGCAGCGCCACCAGCGTGTCCAGGAAGCCCTCCCGGGCGGCGTCGTGCAGCGGTGTCGCGAGAGTGGCGGGGTCCACGCAGTTCGGGTCCGCGCCGTGGAGCAGCAGCAGCTTCGCTACGCGAGTGCTGCCCATCATCATGACCTGCCGGAGAGAGCAGGGTGGTCAGGGAGAGAGCGGTCGTTAGAGGCAGAATTAATTTAAAGAAACTTTGTGAAACCACCACTCTGTGCAGATGGCGGCCGTGCAAGCCACAGACGGCTAGTTACTCTTTATTTGCTTTCAGTTACCGACTCTCTTAGCCAGTTTTTCTACCCATTCCATTTTTCTGTACACACTGAATTCCCATTATATTCTCCAACCTTTTGCAGAATTTCAGCCACACATAGAACACTGCTGGAGGCATAGACAACAGCAACAGACTGAGGAACAAACTTGCCTAACCTTCTGTATTTCACCCTCATTTTGATATAAAATTATGTAAAACCCAGGGATTTTCTATGGCTCACTGCCATATAGACATGCCCTTGTTAAAAAGTGGGGAGGTGCTGATCTCATTTGGGTCCTAGATCATCTTTCAAACAAAGTCATCACCAAAGTGTCCATAATCAGAGCAACCTCAAAATTTGAAGGTTGTTGTGGTAGACAATTTATTTTTAGGGTAACTTTTTTTTTTATTATATTAGCTAGATGATAGTGATGTATAAAAAGAAGTTTGTTTATTTTAGTTACATTCTGTTTTAAGCATAAATTAATTTGTCCAAACCAATGATCCACAATAAGTTACACAATGGTTGTTGATTTTTGTCCTGGAGGAAGTGAAAAAGAGAGAAAATATAAATAACCCAAATCACAACTCCAAAGAAGAAAGAAAAACTATTGTGCTGCAATAGAACAATGCACTGTTTTGAAATAAAAACTGGAAAACCTTTCACATTATTACTATGTTTATCCGATGAAGTCTTTCATCATTTAACTGGTTTTAAATATATTTTATTATATTAGTATAAAAGGCTGAACAGTAACCTAACATTTAAGTCTTTAAATCATAATGGCAATCCAATGCAAAAAAGAAATAAACCTATTAAGTGAAAATTTGTATGGTGCTTAAATCCATTTGAAAAGACATTCAATTTAATTTAGTATTCTAAATTTTTTTATGTCAACTAACTATTCCTATACTAAACACAAATTTGATTAGGGCTCTTCTGGTGAATGACTGGTGCCAGTGGCGGGGAGGCGGGGGGGGGGGGGTGGCGTGGAGCCCTGGAATGGGAGGCTGCTGCAGCTTCCGTGAAGGATTTGGCAGCACATCCAGAGCTGAGGTTGCAGCCAGGCGTGGGGGCTGAGACCTGACTATTGAGCTCGCAGTGGCAAGACCAAGGACAAGGAGTGGGTCCCCATTATCAAGTTCGGCCACCTGGTCAAGGATATGAAAGCCAAGTCCCTGGAGATCTATCTCTTCCCTCTGCCCATCAAGGAACCTGAGATCATTGACTTTTTCTTGGGGGCATGCCTCAAGGACGAGGTTTTGAAGATTCTGCCCAAGCAAAAGAAGACACACACAGGCCAGGGGACCTGGTTCAAGGCATTTGTCACAAAAGGGGACTACAATGGATGTGTTGGTCTGGGCATTAATTGTTCAAAGGAAGTGGCCACTGCCCTCTGTGGAGCTATCATGCTAGCCAAGCTCTCTATTGTCTCTGAGCACTGAGGGTACTGGGGGAACAAGATTGGCAAGCTCCGCACTGTCCCTTTTAAGGCGACCGGGTGTTGTGGGTGTGTGCTGGTGTGCCTCATCCCTGCCAGACACAATGGCATCATCTCAGCCCCTGTGCCCAAGAAGCTGCTGCTGCTGGATAGTACTGACAACTGCTACACCTCCTCAGTCAGGGGCGTTACTGCTACCCCAGGCAACTTTGCCAAGGCCACCTTTGATGCCATCTCTAAGACTTACAGCTCTCTCACCTCCTCTGGAAAGAGACCATGCTCACCAAGTCTCCCTATCAGGAATTCACTGACTATCTTGTAAAAACCTACACCAGAGTTTCCATGCCGGGGACCCAGGCTCCAGCTGCGGCCACCACATAATTTTATACAAGAAAAATACAGTGAATTAAGCCTGTTAATAATAAATAATAATATAACCAAAAGCATGTTCCTTTTTCTCTATATTCTTATCCTGTTTTTAAAAAGTTAAAATTAATCATTCAACTTTCTTTTTTGGTTTTGTATTTAAACAAATAAGGTCTCACCCTGGCTGGTGTGGCTCAGTGAATTGAGAGCAGGCCTGTGAACCAAAAGATCACTGGTTTGATTCCTAGTCAGGGCACATGGCTGGGTTCCCAACCAGGCCAGGGGCAGGGGGGGTGAGGGGGGGTGAGGGGGAGTGAGGTGGGGTGGGGGGCAATCGCTCATTGAGGTTTCTCTTCCTCTTTCTCCCTCCCTTCCTCTCTAAAAATAAATAAAATCTTTTTAAAAAAAGAAACAAATAAGGTCTCTTCTAACACATTCGGGAGCTCCAAGGCCAAACTCAGTTTCCAAGCTGCTGGTGATATTTTAGAAATATCAAATTATGAATCGGGCAAGCATTATTTTTTTAATAGACTAATTCTACAAACACTCAACCTCTTTAGTTTCAAATTCTCTCCATACTTCAAATCCCAGATAATCTCATGTTTTAGGCACCTTTGTTTTATTTTTATATCTTATTTTAAAGTGAATAAAACATATATTAGCATAGTTTCAGGAAAGGAAGATTTACTTATGAAGTTTGTGAAGTTCCTATTAGAGTTACTTTCCTTTGTCTTGTTATGCTAGATTTTTTGCGATATACGAGGACTGTCCAGAAGATATCCATCCATGTAATAGGAAAGATGGAGACATTTATTGAAGAAACAAGATACAAAAAACATTGTACATAGGACAATGATACCTCAGTCCCCTTCGAAGGCACCTTGGGACCTCACACAGATCTCCCAGTGTCTCTTTCACTTTTCAAAACACTTTGCAAAATCCTTGTTGGAATTCCCATCAGCTGTCCCATCATATTTCCCTGAACCTCATTGATGGTCTGAAATCTCTTCCCTTTGAAAGGTGATTTTAGTTTTGGGAAAAGCCAGAAGTTGCAGGACGCCAAATCTGGGCTAGAGTGGGGCTGAGTCACCTGGGTGATTTGATGTTTCACTAAAAAGACTCTGCACAAGACATGATGCATGAGCGGGCACTCATGTTGTGGTAATGAAGCTACCGATCACCACTTGCCATAGTGGGGGCCATTTCCCCCCCGAATTGCACCTTTCAACTAATGAAGAACATTGAGGTAGTACTCCTTTTTAACTGTTTGCCCTGGAGGGGAGTACTTGTGATAGACAACACTTCCCGAGTCAAAAAACACAGTTAACATAATCTTGATCTTTCTGAGACTCTGCCTGCCTTCTTTGGGGGTATGGAGAACCAGGCAATTTCCATTGGGATGACTGGGCCTTTGTTTCAAGATCACAGCTGTACATCCGTGATTCATCCAGTTATGGTCTTCTGGAGGAAATCTGCTTCATCAGTAGTGGTTCAAATCAAGTCATTAGCAATTGCAGCATGATGTTCCTTCTGCTCTAGTAGCAGAAGCCATGGAACAAATTTTGCCACGACATAATTCATGCCAAGATCCTGTCAAAATCTGAGACACAGTGGTTTTTGGAATCACCAGAACAGCTTCTAGTTCGCACATTGTCAGTCCTCAATCTTTGATCTTTGTTGATTCCAGCGCATACAAGGTCAACATTCTCAGGTGTTCTGCTTGTTGCAGGCCTTCCAGAATATGGATCACTTTAAACAGATTCTCAAAAATCTTTGAAGCATCTGTACCACACTTTTATTTGCACTGCACTCGTTCCATCACCTCTGAAAGCCTTCTGAATAGTCCAAATAGTTACCACGGAGGAATGTTCAAGCTTAACGAAAAATCTGATGCAGAGTCATTGCTCTGCTTGCTCAGTTTGAACGCTGCGGCCACAGAGCACACATGCTCACTCAACGGCGCCCACCTCCCCCACTGATTAGTCCAATGAAGTCATCATTGTCCATGTATGCTCCTTCTAGTCTGCTCTCCTTGGCTGCCAGGTTACACTGATGTAGCGCAAACAGTTCTCAGTATATTAACAATGGTTGGACTTTTTCCAGACAGACCTCATATATTTGTTTTATAAAAATTTTATTTTTTTGAATCAGAAATCACTCTCCATACTGGGATCACCATTGTAAAGCTAGGACGGTGACTGCCAGGAAAAATTTGTTTTTAGCCTGAGATTTAACCCCAAACACTAACAAAAAAAAAAAAAAAAAAAAAGGTTTGGGGAGAAGAGAAATGAAATTTCACAATAATGAGGAATCAAAAACTCTACCTCAAATACATTAATCTATAGCAAGTAATTAAACAATAGCAACAACAATAGAAGATACCACTAAAATTTTAACTAAATTGACATTCAGGTGATGTTATACTAATGTTTTTCATGTTTGCATTTAAATATACGTTTGCATTTAAATATATATTTGCATATATTGTAAAACGAGCACATGCTTTCCTAACTCAGTTAAAATTTTAAAAAATACATTATTCAGTTGCTCCTGAATAATTTCAATTGATATTTATTCCAACATACACAGCAGATTCCCACTGAAACTTCCTCCCAGGGAGGAAAATTATCATCAGTTCCTTCCCGGTGTCTGTGAGATGAGGACTAAGCGATCCCAGCAAATCTTACATTTCTTTAAAAGCTTACGTTTTACACCAAACGTTTGTAAATTTGGTATCTGATAAAGAACACAGCGAGAGAGAAGGGAGGGACGGAGAGGATTTACCTTGGTCTGTATTAATTCAAGTAAGTTCCCCCTTCCGATCCTCACAGCATTCCAGCACCCCTAGTGATTCCTCATTCCTTCCTCGGCCTCCAGGGCACCCCGCGCATGGGGGCCTGGCCAAGGGGAGCCTCCGATGAAAACAAACTCCATCTGAAAAGTCCCGAGGATGTCACCCCTTTACCCTTTACCGGGAACTGAAACGCTACCTGGCTCCCACCCCCTCGCAAACCTGGTCCCGCGAGGCCGTGCTTCACCCCTCCGTCTGCGGCAGACTTGCTCACCCA